AAATATTTTCCTTGAAATTTTAGTCTTTTCAAGAGTAGCTGATGAAAGTCCCTATCCTTTGGATGACTTGTGAAAAATAACCAAGAATCACTTGTGATGAAGAGATGGGTAAACAGCTCACCTCAGATGACCGGCCCTCTGGGGTGGCCACTAGCCAGCTGGGCCCATGGAGCTTTCCCCTTTCCTCTCTGGTCCTCCTCATCGATCAACTGGAATGAGCCCCCATTTTTTTTAAGACTCTTCAGTTCTTTATTCTGTTCACCATCTTACCCCAATATTTTAAAGAGAGTTGCTAGGAGGGCACATATTAGCAGTGTTAAAAACACTTTCCAACGTGGAATGCAGTGACCTGGCTTTGTTTTGTCCCAGAGGTACCTTGGTCTGACACTTCCAGGGGCCTCCTCATGCTTCACCAAGAGTAGGCAGCGTGGCTGAGGCTGGAGAGAGCAAAGATAAAAGTCAGCAAGAGCCGAGGACAGTCTAGGCTGAATTAGGGCTGGTCGTTGGCAAGCCTCCATGACAAAGGAGCCAGTCAGTACCTGGCAGTGTAGGCAGATGCCTGGAGTCCCAGGCAGATAAACCACATGAAGAGACTTGGGAGGATGGAAACTCTGGAGGTGGCACCTGAGCCAAGAGCTGCAGAGACTGAAGGCCAGGTCAGCATCCATGACAGCTCCTGGCATAAGTCTAGGAAGTTTGGGGAAGTGATGTGGGATTTCCACCCAGGTTGGCTTTTTATCTTGCAGAACTCCCTTGTCACTTCTTCTCATTTCTGAGCCTAGAACTTGGGTGGTCTTCTGACCACCCAAGAAACTGCCTGAAAACGCTATTTCTCAAGTTTGAATGTACGTAAGAATTATCTGAGTCAAAACTGCAGATTCTAACACAGTAGCTCACAGGTTTGGCTGAAGGGTTTGGTTTCTAACAAGCTTCGAGGTGATGCCACTACAGCTGATGTAGAGACACGCTTTGAGTGGTGGAGCCTTGAAGACTGTTGCTGTTGGGTCTCGCTAAATAAACCAGTCTCCGTCCCATGTCAGTGAGCTTCCCTCATGGGACAGGTGAACATACCCTCGCTGGCTAGTTCAGAACTGACTCCCAGCAGCTAGACTTGAGAGCAAACTAAGGAATTCAGCTTTATTCTTCCTGTGACAAAGCAGGTCCTCACTGAATTTAATATTGGTAGAGAACCCAGTTGTTTCCTGACCCAGATAGTTTTCTTGAACAGACGCATTGACCCTGACCACATTGCTCTGCTGGGAGTTATCCTTGGCCTGGTTAGGGTCCTGGTGAGAAGCCAGGAGAAAATTTGACCTTAAATGCATGCCTGTTTTTTTGTTTTTTCAGATTAAATATCATATTTGCTCATTTATACCCTTTTCCTCAAGGAGAACCTGTTTATTGATTTTTTTAAATTTTTTCTTGTTTTTGAATGATATAAAATAAATCCCTATTACTGAGAACAGGGACCAGTCTCCAAAGATTGCTTCTCCTGTTTCCCATTCTGCTCAGGCTTTCTCTACGTGTCTGGTGAGGAAAAGTAAAGTCTATTAGCAAGTCCAGACTGCTCGTGAGTGTGTGGTTCTCAGTAGCTCAGTACTCTCATGCCAGCCCCCACTTGAACTTTACTTAGTCCTTAGATGTTTTAGCTGAATTCTTACTACTAACTTCTCTGGGACCTGACAGCTCTTCCTCCCACGGAAGAAAGCTCTGCTCCTCACAGGCATCTGTCTGTCTTTAGATTTCAGGCTACTTGGTTGCTCTGAGACCTCAGCTCTCTGATTAGTGAAGGAAACGCTAAGATTTTGTATATTATTCAGCTTTTTCTTGAGGTTATGGTGGGAGGAATACTCTTTACATCTTTGTACATCCTAAACAGAAGTTGGAAACTTCTGTGCCACAAATACATTTTCCCAGGACGCAATTTGTTATCTCCATTTTTATGGTATATTTTGCTCACAGAAGTTTTTCATTTTAATGTAGTCAAATTTATTAATCTTTTCCTTTATAGACTATGCTTTTGAAGTCAGGTTGAGAAATCTTTCCATAGCCATAGTTCATAAATATGCCTTTTTTCCTGAAAGGAAAAAAAATGAAGCCATTGGGGAGTCTCATTTTCTAGTCATGCCCCTCCTTCCTCATTACAGTGGGCCATATCATCTAAATGTTTCCTTGCCCATCATTCATCTTCCTTTCTCTTTCATTTTCAATCCTGTTTTGTTCTTCTGGTGGTGTCCCTTTCAGCATTTAAAGACACTCAAGTGTTCCATTCAGAATGAAGAGGAAAGCCATCTTGCAATTCCACCATCTTGTTTAGTGGAGAAACATCAGTTAAATGGAGGGATGACATTGTTTCCTCAGCTCTTACTCTCTGCTGCTCGTCCTATAATAGCTGGTATCTTTACGGCCAACTTCTCCTCTTGCCCCCTCGAGCAGTACAGTGCCTTAATTTTGAGTTCTCAGTCATCCATTCTTCTCACTCCGAGTTTTTGCTTTCAATGACTGCCTGCATTCCTTTGACTTCAATCATTAACCAATGATTTAGAAAAATAATTTCTCACCTTACTGTTTCTTCTGAGATCTAGACCCATGTATTCAACTTCTTTCTGAATATCTTAAGGCACCTCAGAAGCAGCATGGTTAAATCAAAACTCATTATTCTCGACTAAAATTCCTTCTTTATTCTCCAGATAGTTTCGTTACCCATCATCTGCTGGATATCACCTGAAATCCCCATCCTTCACTACCTTAACTCTAATATTTCATCTAATTCCATCACCAAGGCTGTGTAATTCTATTTAATAAATTTTTTGGAATCCAGATTCTCTTCTTTAATCATCTGCTTCTTATTCGGTTTATCCCCTTTGTTATTTTCTTTTCCTAGAATATTAACAAAATCCTCAATCAGATTAGCTTCCTTATCTAGTTGCCACCTTTTGTTACAGTCTCTACTTTGACACCTAGTCAGCTATTGAAAAATCAAGTAGTCACTCTCCTGTTTAAAATATGTTTAGTGTGACTTCTTTCCACTCTTAGAAATAAGTTTAGTCACCCTAGCTACCTCTTTTAAATGTATTTGTAGTGTGAGAAAACCACAATCTGTCTTACATGTAACGTCCAAACCAAAAAATTTCCAAGTACACACAGAAAGGGAACTATTATGTTTAACCATAAGTTTAAGTAAGTGTTATATTTAACAGCTAGAAATGAAGTGGTTTTCTAAAACTTTGTTAGTAATGTTGTCTTATTCCTTTTGAGGGATCAGCCTTGCTAGTACATATCAAATAGGAATTTGTCCTCACATCCAAGAAAGGTGAAATGAAAACAAATAGAATCATTAGAGCTTTTCATATAATCCTTTTTTATACTTGACTCCCTTATTTCTAAAATTAAAGTTATTTTGCAGTTAGTAAACTAGTTTTGAGTGGGTAGAATGCCTAAAATGGGACCATATTTTACAAATCACTGTAGGCATTTACCTTATTCTTCTCCATTTATCCCCAAGTTATACAAACGTACACATACCCTCTAATAGATTGACATTTACTTCGTTAATAACTGACTATTAGTATGTGGAGTTGTTATTTCTATAGCATTCATCTGTATTGCCTTCTGTAGGTCCCTTTTAAATTTTCAAGATGAGCAATCAGGAGCAGGGGTTAAATCTTTGATCATGAAATTTAGTGAAATTAACAAGTCCTTATACCCAACTCACACATGTATGGCGATTTCAGCAGATATTACCCTACTCATGAGAGAATATGGTACAATGAGTATGTGACTGTCCTTATAAAAATAAGGATAATAATGATGAGATTAAATTTAAATAGTCAAAAAGAAAATCAGAAAACATTATCTTAATTCAAAATACTTTTTCAAATAGAAGGATTGGTCTAATTGGTGGTGGAATGGCCCTTTAGCCCCCAAAATTATTCCTGGTGGTACCCTTAGATGCCAATGTGAACTTAGCAACTTTATTGTGTTATTCGAGATGCTTCCTGAACTTAATTATTTGCCAGATGATCTTTACAAATTAGAGCTGAATTATAAATGAAGCTACTTTGTTAAGAACAACAAAAAGTTAGGCTATTGATTTGTGAGGTTGGAGATCAAATCAGTATTCCAAACCAAATTCCATTGCTGCTGTCTCATTAAACAACATTGGGTGGACAATTAAAGATTCTTATACATTTTAATTCAGCTAGTAACAATTTAAAGCAACATTGATTTATTTTTCCTAATTCATTTGAGGTCATGTTTACTATGCAAAATATCAAAATGAACTTGAAACGATTGAGGCTGTCTGTATAAGAGGGCATGCATTCCTTGGAAAGGTCTTCCTTCCCCATGCTAATTATCATCATTTTGCTGTTACTTTCATTTCCCCTTGAACTCTAACTTTTAAAGAATTATTATTATGCATTCTTTTCATCATAAACCTTCATCATTAAACAATTAAACCTTTATCAGGCACAGCAGCAAGAAACTCTGGATAATAATGATGAGGTTGGAAATTCGCTATATAACCTGTTGTCTCATTTTGGAAGCAGTGTCATGCCAAATTATTTTTATATGCTCATGAATAGTATTCTTACTAGGGTGGATGAGGAGATGAACAGCTCTAATGGAAGGAGTGGTCATCATGTTGATCCTGGTAAACCATGCTAATGCTGGACAAGATATTGTCTATTGCTATTAGGTGCATATTAAGTCAATAGTCCTTATGGCTATAGACTATTTTAAAGAATGTAAGAAGAGAAAGTGCCTTTCAGGATTTGGAAGTCCCTCATATGACCTTAATATAGTTGCACAAATAATGCCCCACTTATCTGAAAGTTTATGGCACATTTTCTGGGTGGCTTGGTCCCAAAGTAAAAAAGGGAAAGACAGGAGGGCAGTTCATGAGAGGTAGTTGTAGTCTGTCCCTGTCTTCAATTCTTAGCTTTACACTGAACTCCAAAGTAACTGAGATACTTTCTGTTGTTGTTTCCAAAATACAGAATTTCAAAGTGGGATATCGGATCCTTTAGTGTGAAGACACGTCTATGTTAAACCAGGAATCACTGGCAGCGACATCTGGCACGAAATCTTGGAAGATTAAGCAACTGTGAGGGCTGATCATGGAAATCAAAGAGGAAGGAACGTCAGAAGAAGGCCAGCACTTTCTTCCCACACCCCAAGCAAATGCTACTGTGGATTTTCAGTTCACAAGTAAGTTTGTGTGGTCCTCTCCCTGTAGCTCTGAAAGTGCAAACTGGGTTGACTGAACACATGTATGTGTGTATTCACAGAAAATTGTTTCTTAACAAATGGCATGAAGTCAATTAACTTTTTCCTTTTGTAATTTATCTTAGTGGTGTGAGTCTATGAGATCTCAACTTTTATCTTGGGTGAGAACAATGATAGTCCATGGAATGTTTAAATACCAAAGGAGAGCAACAGCGTTCTTGGATGTGTACTGTAACAATATTGACAATAATGCACCTTCTTTTTGCATGGAATTATTTTTTGGAACATAGACAGTTTCTCTTTAAAATAAAGATAATCAAATGGGAAACATTTGGAAAAAATGGTAACCTATGTTGCTGCATAGAGCAAGCTTGGAGATTTGGCCAAGACTTGCATTTGAGCATTTAAATTGGTTTTTGTGCTACTCAAGTAATTAAAATCATTGGAAGGATTGCATATTTCTCTCCTTCTAAAAATCCTAGGGCTTGGGTTTAGTATAAATTCTGTCTTTTTCTTTGCAGAAGAATATTGCCTAGTTACTTAACACTGGCAAACATGGGCCTAACCTCTCATTTAATTTACATTATAAGAATAATCTTTAGAAAATGGTGTTGGTTACATGCATCTTTGAGAAAATTGGTTTTCAGAGTTTTAGCAGAATTAATTGTTACAACCTTTTAAAAAAATTCAGACTCTTTGAAAGTATCAAAGACCCACCAAATAATTGACACTCTAACCTCTCTTAGACAGCCTAAAATTGTTAACCATAGCATTGTTAAATATCAGCAGGAGAAAAAATGGTTATTATGTAAAAATGTTAGTTCTGTAAATAAAATGGATGACTGTTATACAAAGTGGTGGTTTTAACAATATGTTAGTGACTGAACACTAGTAAATTTTAAATTGTTTCTGATAAAACAAGGAAAGGATTTCTATAATATTACCTTTATTGCCAATTGGTTTACTTTCCCCTACATTCTAGCCTTGCTTCTTTGACCATCCTGAGTTGTGGCCAGTAGCATCTCAGTCCTCACTCACTTCCCATTTAGGAAGCCCCTGCCCTGTGTGTGGTCTTGATGGGTCACCAGTCATATTACCAAGTGTTACAGCTCAGTCTTTCCCTTCTAACCAATAGGTCTCACTTCTTTGCCTTTGTTTTCACCTTCCTTTCCTCTCCAGCTTCATGTTAAATCATTGAACTATGTTGTTAGTTATTTTTTAAATGGCTAGTGAAAGGAATAGAAACATCATCAGAATGCTGAGTTGAACTATCGAGTTGGCACAGTATCCACCTTCATACTCTCTGTATCCTAAACACATGTATCCTTTTCATTAATCAGCTATTATTTATGGCAGGTTAAAGTCTAAGAAGAGAGTTCACGTAAGAGAGTACTTTGGTGAGGTCATCCTTTTTGAAGAAATCACCTTTGTCTGCATGCATCCAAAAGAAACAGACACAGTTGAAAAATATTTGTCACAGCTTTATCAAAACAGTATTTTTGAGTTCTTTATGGCCATGAAACGAAATAGACCAGTCAAACCTTTAATCATGTCTATTCCTGCTACAAATAGGTCTTGTCCTGAGAACTGAATGTTTATTATGTCTGATTAACTGAATTTATTCGTTCTGTCAAATAACACATACATCTAGGCAGGGTGAATATGGTAATATATACTTACTTTTTTATAATGAACTAAGTATTTTAATCTGAACTTTATTATTTATAGGTATTCAGAAGACTCCAAATGAACCACAGTTGGAATTTATCCTTGGTAAGTACCCATTTAACCTTATTCATTGTGATAAATATAATAATAATCCATATATATAATCTATAATATATAATCTATAATATATATAATAATATATATAATATATATTATATATAATCTATAATTATATATATAATATATAATTCAGAAGCATTATTCTAAAAATTTTCATTAAGGTAAGTGTTATTTCCCACAGTTTATAAGTATAAACTCCGAGCCTCTGAATAGGTCCATTCTCTACCCAAGGACACGGGGTTCAGCGGGGATAAAGCTGTGCTTCCCAACCGGGTCTGCCGACCATGCTTCATACGGTGATTAGACTCTTGCTAATCAAATCCATGTCTAATTATCTATTCCTTGGGCTGGAGACTGGCCTCATGGACAGTTTTCCTTTTTGTTCCTTGACAGCATCTACAGGTGCTTGCTCCTTTCTATCTCACGCACTCACAAATATCCCCTGACTTTCCCATCTTGGTTTTGTGGACCAATCCTTGGCATTTGAGAATTTGACTTTCATTCAAAACTTTGACTTGCTCAAGCAGCTCTAAAATTCTGTCAGATGCAGAAAATTGTAATTTTGTCCAAAACTCTAAAATTCTGTCACATGTAGAAAGTTGTAATTTTGATTAAAAATGTGCCTTCTTCAGGCTGGTGTGCTACTTAGCTCTTGAATGGGATCTGTGTTGTGTTTGAATCAGATGTGACTGCAAAGCACCACTAGGAACTTAGCTGCAAAGTGGTATTCAAAGATTGTAAAATATGGATCATATGTATAGTGGCGCACTTGATTATATATATATTTTTTGTTTTCCCTTTACAGAATTTATTTTTAAAGTAGTTTTAGGTTCACAACACAGTTGATCAGAAGGCACAGAGGCTTCCCACGTAGTCCCTGGCCCCACAGATGCATCACCTTCCTCATTTTCAGATCCTCTGCCAAATATTTAGATTTATTATTGTAGATGACCCTACATTGACACAACATTATCACTCAAAGCCTACAGTTTACATTAGTGGTCACTCTGGATCTTGTACATTCTGTGAGTTTGGAAAATCTCTGAGTTCATGTATCCACCATTATAGTATCATACAAAATATTTCCACAGCCCTAAAAAATCCCCACAGCCTCTTTATCCCTTTCTCTCCCTAACTTCCAGCCACTGACCTTTTTTTCTATTGCTACCGTTTTGCCTTTTGCAGAATGGCAGATAGTTAGAATCATACAGTAAGGTTCCCTTCACTTAGTGATTTGCATTTAATATTCCTTCATGTCTTCATGGATTATTCCACAACTTATTCATTCACCTACTGAAGGACATTTTGCTTTCTTCTAAGTTTTGGCAATTATGTTGAAAGCTGCTTTAAGCATGTGCGTGCAAGGTTTTGTGTGACATAAGTTTTCAGCACCTTTGGGTAAATCCAAAAAGCTTTATGCTGAATCATATGGTAAAAGTATTTAGTATTGTAAGAAATTACCAAACTGCCTTCCAAAATGATCGGACCATTTTGTTTTTTTTTTTTTCATTCTTTTTTTTTTTAATTAATAAATTTTATTTTTATATTTTTATTTTTTATTTTTATTTTTAATTTTATTTTTTATTTTTATTTTTATTTTTATTTTTATTTTTATTTTTATTTTTATTTTTGCATTCCCACCGGCAATGAATGACAATTCTTCTAACTCCACATCCGTACCAACATTAAGCATTGTCAGAGTTTCAGATCTTGGTATAATGTATTTTTTTAAACTTTTTTTTCACAAATATAGCTAAAAATGCTTTAAGAAATACAGTTTTTAATTTTCCCAAGTAGTCAAAAATGAACAAGAACGTGAAAACTCAAGAAACTTATGTGGTAACACCAATAATGTGATACTTATTCTTTTTAAAGAGTTCTTAGATGGGTCAGACATAAAAAGAACCCATTTCCTAAAGAATGTTGAGGCATCAAAGAGGCCTAGGCACCCCTTCACTGACTGACTATAACTCTTGCTATGTGAGTCTTCATCTGTCTAATTGTTTCAATTTTAAAGAAGAAATTAATTTTTTACTTTTTGATAGAACTTCTGAAAATGAAGTCTTGTTAGAGCAATTTAGTATATGTCAAACACAGAGAAAACCTTCTGACATACATCCTGAAGAACATGGGGAGCCTGAAGGAAGCTGAAGCCATTGGGTAAAAGCTACTAAGCAAACATAGTAGATTTTGAGGTTCAAGGGTAGTTAGTCGGGTTACTGGACTTGACCAACTGTCAGGCGACAGCATGTCTGGTCAAATGCCTGTCTTCCATTTTAATTAAAATTATCTCTCCTATTCAAAACCTCCCCATACCCTTGTCAAGTTCCATAGCAATGCTATTATCACTTATTTTTCTGGCCTTAAATCATAGATCTAAGAGATAAGCTGCTGCAAGATTTTAATCATCATAATATCTCTCCCATTTTTAAAAAAACTTCGATTTTCTTTTTTCATATTTATTCAAAAAATACACGAGCATTTTTGCAACAGATAATTTTCTATTACCAAACGGTAAGAAATGCCTGACAAGTAAACAAAAGAAAGGGATTTAGAGTTTTCAGGGAATTGTGTTGTTGATCCTGGATGATACACTTCCCAAATGGTTTGTTATGCTTATTAGCACTTTAAGAGCCTCAATTGTACTATTTCTTGAAGAATATTTTTTGATACTTGGGATAGGACAGCTAAGCCTTTGTAAGTTTTATGGCATTTCTATTCCCTTGATTTCTATTAATCCCACAAATTCTTCAAGACTTTACCTTTTACATATCTAACTTCATTTATAATTAATAATGCTGAATAATAGTTTCTTTAATATTTTTTTATCATGGTTCTAAGAATAAAAAAGATAATGGGCTTTACGCCACTTAATTTTTCAACAATTTTTTGGTATTTGACTCTCAATTATTTAGCAAAGTATCCAAATAGATTGAGATTTTCAATGACTTTGGATTTAAAATTGGGAAGACAGTCACACTCTTTTGGTGTGGTGTCACTTTGCTTTGTGTAAGTTATTTTCCATCAAGGATTTGTTTCTGTCTTGTCTGTAGGCCACTGAAAAGTCATTATATCTTTCCAAAGTTCCTCTGCTCCATCTTTATTCAAGTAAATGAGGTAGGAAATTCTCAGTCAATTGAACAAGCTAATTGACTAAAACTATCTTGATAGTAGCACAAGATACGCATGTACTAAAAACAGTGGGCATCTCATGTTCACTGTCAACCGTAACCCTAATGGCAGACTGCATCGAAAGTGTGTAACCCCCCTCACAACTTCAACTCTGCACGTTTCTTTCATTGTTTCATTTGCATGAGTGGATGCTTTTTATTTCCACAAAAGAGAAATAATTAAAAACCCAAGAGAACCCAGATTTTGCTTATAGCTTAATATCATTGCTTTTATTTGAACGAAGCTGGCATTTAAGAAGGATCATTTCTTAAACTCTGGGTATCTTTCTTTCCTGAAACCATTGTGGAAAATGCATAGAAAGAATGTGGCAAAGACAGAAACTTTGATGAACTATTTCTTTAGTCTATCCCCCGATTATAATTAATATTTATTATCTTGTACCTCCAGAGTCAACAGAATACTTACAAGAATATGCTTTTCATATTCTTATGTCTTCATATTCTTATATGGACACCAAAGGCATTATCAATATCAGCACTAAAGCATTGTAAATACATAGGAGAAAATGGTGTGTTTCTGTGTGTGGATATGTGTGTGTGTGCATGTGGTCCTATGTTTTTTTTTTTTTATTTGACACCTTAAAATCTTATTCTTGAAGTAACTTATACCTTGATGGCTGATACCTAACTGAAGCCATGTGAACACGCAGGAGGTTACATAAAAGACTCATGTTGTATTGTGTCAGCAGCCTCAGGGGCAGTTATAATAGGAATAAGAGAACATGGATGCTGGAGCGAAATCTCTAAGTAATTCATTCATTCAGATTACATTGGGAGCATAAGAAACTTACAAATAAAAATGATTTCAATAATGTTATGTTCTATGGAGGCAAACTGGAAAACAGCACAGAATATCTGGGGACAAGGCAGTTAATTTGGGGGCCAGATGGACTGTTTCACAAATGGCGAGCAAAGAACACCTCGGAGTGGCCAAGGGACTGATGAAAGTGTGGGCGCTCATTTACAAAGTTCATCCTGAGCACAGAGCAGGAGGGGAAGCTATAGTAGATATTTTCTACAGCAGGTAATAAGGTTCTAATCAGGGGACTCCTGAGCCTCAAGGGTGTAAGTCAAGCTACTGGTTTGACCAGGCAGCAAACCAAGTTAAATGCTGCTGGGTTCTGGAAATTTTAAGTACCACAGGGAAAATGGCAGCATAGAGAAGGGACATTTGCTGAACTTCGGGAATGCTTGCTAAGTTGGAGAGGGAGAATTTTAAACTAGAAGAGAGCTGAGCTGTGAGCTCCTTCACCCTGGCCACTTCTAGTTTCCCCTCACTCACCCCTCTCAGCGGTCTGGGTAGTAGGATCAGGCCTGGTGTTGGTGCCCTGTTGAGCCTCTAGTGAGTAAGGGGTGGAGCCAGAGATGGGATTCTGTGCCTCTACCTTTTCGAAACTTTCAACTTTTATACTTCTGCATGTTAGGTTTTATCAGTGGATAAAATAAGACTAATCTGAGGCTCAAATTATTTAACAGAGCCTTACTTTATTTTTCAATTTCTTCTAAAATCAATACATTTATATTCACTGCTCTAATTTCATAGTATTGTGGTGAAAATTACCATAGGTAAAAATCATTGATAGAGGATGTAGAAGTGCATCACAATTAATAGTCCTCGATTGTCACATGTTTTCAGATAACCCTCTATAGATAAGCTTTGCATCTAAGTTTTTGACTTTTCTCCTAATACCTCAAACTCAGGATGAATGAAGAAAAGTGTAGGGCATCCTTAGCTCAGAGTCAATCAACTTGTGCTATTTAATTTTTGCAGTGAAACATATTAAGATGTAACAC